AGCATCCCTCTCGCCGAGCCCTCGCTTAGCAACAGCTGTTGCCTAGCAACAGAGTCCCGCACGCTCATATATGTAGTGAAGGTTAGCGAGCTACTAGCGTAGCGGCGTGACGCACCTCAGATCCCGCAGCAGCACAGGTGTGAGAATGAAGCCTGTTTTCACTCTGACCTTCTCCTAGATGTCATCCAAGCTGTCCAGGAAGGGTTCGGATGAAGATCTGGAGAAGGATGGCAAAGATGAGCAGAAGAGCGGATCAGAGGCTGGTGACCATGACAACAACATCCAGAACTCGTCAGACAAGACGTGCAGTCAAGGGGTAAGAGCAATTAACAGGAGACGATCTTCTTGATTTCATCATCAGGGCACCTGTACTTCTACAGCAGCTGTACAGCGTTCATCAGGACAGAAGTGATTCAGTAATGCAAACGGCAGAGAGTTCATCAGGGCCGTCGCATAAATATATGGCCACTATGTTAAGACTGTGTCTTAAGAACTAGTTTGACCAACATGATCAGACTTCATTATTTGTATTCAATTTAGACCATTCTCCCTATTTATAACTGACTTTAAAAGTTTCAGTTAGACGACTAACTTTTTAAGACTAGTCTAAGGCCCCCGATTTTCATTTATATCCATGTTATTATGCTTCATAAATACACAATAACAGTGGCTAATAAAATCCTGCCTAAAACCAGTGTGTGACGAGCGGAGAGTCGCTGCTGTTTGACGGACGAGCGTGGCGTCAGGGAGGAATATTCCTCGACTCTAGCCGTTTCTCAGCGTTAGAGAGAGAGTGAATGAAGTCCATGTGTCACAGCAGAACGGTGAACGTGATTTCAACAAGTACAAGTTCCTGGATCAACATCCCAATCAACCAATCAGAATTGAGGGATACATTTACAGGAAATATCTGTTTTAGGGTTAGGTGCTTCTGCGACCTTGTTATTCAGCTATCATTTCTCTCTGATGTAGGGTTAGGTCTCTGTTTTGGACAGTAATATTGTTCCAGGATCAACAAAAGATGTTAGATCCAGGAACGTGTCTGACTTGGCAAAGTCACAGCAGAACGAGTGTCTGACGGCTGCTCTTCTCTCTTCCAGCAGAATCTGTCGCTCCGGGAGGATCACTAGATGATCGTCAGACTCCGGCTCGTGACACTGATATGTGATATTGTAAATGCATCTTATTACGCTGATCGCTTGCAAACTCCCACACATTATTATCTGGTTCAGTCAAACACACACACACACACACACACACACACACACACACACGACCGTCATTCCTCTCTGCTGGTTTGGTTTAGAGTTTAGCTTTAGCCTCGGCGGCGGACGTTCAGATCTCTCAGTCATTCCTCTCCTGTCGCGCTACAGATTTCTTTCTTTCACAATGAACAAACACATTGTAGGTCAGACGTTCATCTGTTAAACGACTTGGCCATCTTTAACGCTTTTACATAATCAGAGAAAAAAGAGTGGAAACTGTAGAATCCGTATTAAGTATTGTGCACAAACAGAGTCGCTGTAACTCCATTTCTCTATACGTTTGATTCTAGGAGCTCTGTACTATTATCCCGATGCTAGAGGTACTGCTCATATTTTTAAGACGTGAAATATCCGTTCGTGTGTCGGTGGGTTGGTTGTTTTCTAGCCTTTCTAGTGGCATGCTGGCTTCTGTTTCCATTCCGTAGCTCCGTTCTGTTCTGATGATGTTCTTCTGTCCGTTTCGTCAGACGGCACTGATCCTGTCTTCTTCCCAACGGAAAACGTGCCCTTGATTTGTTACCTTTTTATTTTTTATCTTTGTTTATATAAAGAATATATTCTATTTATTTTTGATGATAGTAGATGACTCATCTGTGGTAAATTCGCACTCACCAATGTGGTTTTCATTTCGTTTCAATTTTTATTGCCCTCATAGATGTTGCATTTTCAAAGTTTGTAGCTACATGTAAACTGTTTTTCCTGTTTATTGACTAGAATTTTACAGAATAAACTCATTGGAATGCAAGTGTCTTCTCTGCCGTGTCTTTATGTAGTGCTCAGTTATGCTAAAATGTCATTCTTCTGATGGCTTGCAAACTCACGCACATTATTATCGGATTCAGTCAAACACACACACACACACACTCACTCACACACACACACACACTCACACACACACTCACACACAGACACACACTCTCACACACACACACACACTCACTCACACACAGACACACTCACACAGACACACTCTCACAAAGACACACACACACACAAACTCACACAGACACACATACACACACACGTACAGTAAAAACCTGATGTCCAGGAGTCCCACGCAAACGACTGTCATTCCTTTGCTGTTTTGATTTAGAGTTTAGCTTTAGCCTCGGCGGCAGATGTCGTTTTTAGGGCCAAATGTTAATGTGGCCAAAGGTTGTTTTGATAGATCGAATCGTTCTTATTTAATGCATCAGAATTTATTTTTTGCTGGTATCTTCTGAATTGTTTGGCCTTAAATAATGAGCCTGGTCTTTTTGGGGGGCAGAGTTGAATGATACCCAGTGCTTCCCAGTCATTTTGCACATTAGCAGTTTTTTCTGTAAAATTAGTTTTACAAATGCATTGACATCATGATGAAGCTCGCTTATGTGTCATTGGCATATGGGTAGTTATGTATGCTATGTGTATATATAGATATGCACAACATATGTTTGAAAATTAATTTGCTGTTTTTGATTGATTTGAGTCAGCTGAATTGTCTGTCCACCGGTTTGAATTTCGTTGCAAACATACATATTCACCACATTTGGCTCAGATCGTTATCAGACCATGATGGCAAAAAGTTGTTTAATTATTTTTGATATATCAAACCATTCTCGATTATGGCATCTTGATTATTATAATAACAATAATAATATATTATGTGACTATATCAAAGCAAGTCTCTGGTAAAAAGCCCTTGTTTCTAGAGCATGTGAACACAGTAAGGGTCACTCATCAGAGCTGTGTGTATTTTGTGTTTGTGTGTGGAACTGTAGTAAATGTGCTGCTCAGATGAACTCAATCATGGTATTAATTTATTATGATTATTCATTATTAGGGGAATGTATACAGTGGTGTTTGTCCAGTGGTCATATTTACAGTCGTGTATGGAGACACGTTTTGCATTTTGTTGGAGAACTATTTTATTTCTCCACATTTGTGAAATGATGTATTTCAGCCTCCTGTTTGAATTGATTCCCAAACCATGTTTACTGGTTCTGCAGTTGATCACAAGGATGAAGCTGAACCACTGTCTGATCATCTGTAATGTTCTCTGTAGTGAAGAGCGCTGCAGATCCAGCCGGGATTCAATAGTTGGCACTGCAGTCCTAGAAATGCTCGTCTCAGCAGAATCCCTGTAGTACACTTACAGTTCTAGTGTGATTTTATCTAGACAGACGTGTAACCATATTAAAGAGAGCAGGAGATAAGTTAGTCTTATTCTGCATTATTTTATATAGAATATTATATTATTTACAATAAAATTAGAGTCATGTTGGTAAAGTCAATCGATGTCCAGAAGGCAGACGTGATCGATCTGAAATCATCGAGCTGCCACACACTAAACCAGTCTCTTCTCATTCTTCATGCAGTATTTATTGTTTGTAACGCCTGTGAGACTGTAGATGTCTGATTCTTCTGTGCTTCTGCTTTTCCTTCCAGTTGACTGTATTTCTGTGACGTGCTGCTGCCTGAGGCTCAAAATGCTGCTTTAGAGGATAAAAATAGATGAACATCAGCCACGCGCACCTAAACACACTCTCCTCTCTCACACACACACACACCTAAACACACTCTCCTCTC